GAATGTCCCATACATTTTATGTTGCTGTCCTATTCCTATGTCCGTTGTGTTGTTGCCACTCTTCAGGTAAGTTTGCCCGCAAGTTAACTTTTGCTTTGTCGTTGTTGCCAAAGCTGCTTGTTCATCGACATTCCTGTGTTCCAGGTTTGCCTCATGGGGCGTGTGCAGTTGCTTTCCTTGTGAGAAATGATCTCCCAAGTTTTTTTTTACATGGGACAGATTCCTAGAAAATCCTTGAGTTAGAATTGTTGGAGGGATAACTTGGATAGACTTTTGCAGTTGGAAGCAGACTGTCTTGAGTTAGATAACCTGGCTCTGCACAAAGCAGTTTAATACTATTACATGTGTATTAATTTCTCTGAGAAGCGCATCAGTGGCTCCTTCCCACCCCAAACCTAGTTTTATCTTCACAACAGCTCTGTGAGGGAGGTTAGATTAAGGATGCCATAAGGCCACTCTGTGTGCTTTGCAGCTGAGTGGGAATTTCAGCCTGAGTTTCCCTCAAACACTGTCCAGCAGTCTAACCACTTCACTAGAACTTGGAGGTGTCTGTCTACTAGAGCTGTATAGTGTGTTAGTGGGTTTAAACAGCTTTAGCATATTTGAAGCATGCAAAAATGTGATTTTTAACAGAACTGGAATCTAAGGAGCTGGCACATGAAGCCGTTAATGCACTTGGATCATATCTGCTTAAAGCTGTGCAGTGGGCCTCTCTCTGAAGGTGGCAGAAGCTGTTTTGAAGCTGAGCATTTACCAAGCCCAGGAAAATAGTCCCTTGGCTCCTTGCAGTGTTTTCTGAGAACCAGGTGCTGCTTTACAATAAAAGGACCTGAAATACACTCTCAGGGCTGAGCTTCCTTGCTCAAAACAGGCCCTTTCTTCCATTTGAGGCCCTGCTGTGTTTTCAGAAAGTCAACCTTGTTTAATAGCCAGGTAATGTGAGTGGATAAAATGGCCGCAACCTGCTGTGTTTTTATTTCTTATCTTCCACGGATGAAATTTCCAGCATACTCAGGGGCTGAACATTTTTTAAGACTTTCAGCCTTCTCGGAATGAAAGCTTCAGAAAAGAAACATCAGCGATGAGAATCTGGATGGCAACAAACTTGGCTCATTTATTCACTCTCATTTATTCATTCCCAGTTTTGTAGAGTTGCCTGCCTTCAGAAGAGACATGCCCAGAATAGTAATCTCTTTGATCCAATGTCTCTTAAGAAGTAAGGTTCTGGGTTAAACATGATCCCTGTTTATTAGCCATGCTAAGGTAAAGGTAAAGGTACCCCTGCCCGTACGGGCCAGTCTTGCCAGACTCTAGGGTTGTGCGCTCATCTCACTCTATAGGCTGGGAGCCAGCGCTGTCCGCAGACACTTCCGGGTCACGTGGCCAGCGTGACAACCTGCATTTGGCGAGCCAGCGCAGCACACGGAACGCCGTTTACCTTCCCGCTAATAAGCGGTCCCTATTTATCTACTTGCACCCAGGGGTGCTTTCGAACTGCTAGGTTGGCAGGCGCTGGGACCGAACAATGGGAGCGCACCCCGCCGCGGGGATTCGAACCGCCGACCATGCGATCAGCAAGCTCTAGGCACTGAGGTTTTACCCACAGCGCCACCCGCGTCCCTCATTAGCCATGCTAGCTGGGGCTAAAGGAGGTTCGAGTCCCAGCAAGATCTGGAGGGTCCCAGGTTCTCCAGCCCTGATTTACACCAAATCTGAGCAATCCAGAGACCTCATAATGCCTGCCACTAGCTGGGGCTTGCAAGCTGGAGGGCACAGAGCAGGGGAGTTCAGTTGTTGTCCACAGGAACAAGATAGGGAACTAATAGGAGCAGCAATTATGGCCTTTGTCTCTGGCAGTAAAAAAGGACCCTGCTTGGAAGGGTGTGTGCATGCCAGTTTCCATGGAACTCTCCTTGCTTGGGAGCCTAGAGCAGGACAAAAATTGAAAGGTCACTCTCTGCCTCCAGGTTCCTGTAGTGCTTGTTTGGAACCAGTAGCCACTACAGGTATGGGGAGGCTTCTGTACATGTGACTCCTTTGGAATGGTACTGAAGTCTTTAAGTTGGCCTTGCGAATAAAGTCAGTGAACATTATTAGCTTGTTAATAGTGCACATGCCCAAGCATGCCAGTGTTGATGATTAGTGACAGACAGACAACCTGACAGGAGGAGGAGGAGAGCCCCACTCCCTTTCAGTTTATTAAACCTGCTCTGCCTAGTCACCTCCAGTTTACCTCTAGAAAACTGGAGGAGAGTGCTTGTGATATGATTGCCTAGGCTAGAACGAGAGGTTGTGGCTTCCTATGTGCCAGTGTCCAAACTTTAGGAGAGCTGGCATCAATTGTTTAGGGAGAAGCCTTTTTAAATCAGTTGTAAATAAAACCCCAGGCACTAGGAGTGCCTGATATTTATGCACCTTGAAAATGCTCCACCTCTGGTTCTTGGAGAAGCAAGACAGGCTGAGTTATTTTAGAAGCAGGGGGAGATTTGTCCTATGATGACTTCTCGCATGACTATCGGACCTATAAATAATCACCTAGTGCTGCAACCTGAAGGGTAGCTAATAAGTAATATGATATACTGTGCGTGTCTGAGGACAAATGTGTTGGAACAGGTTTGTAGGCCCGTGAGGCTTGAGAGGGAGGTGACAGAATGGCCATGCCACTGGTGACTTAAGTATGAATGTTCATTCCCTCCCAGAGTAGCTGACACAGTGACAGGCTTGGTGTAGGTCAGCTGTGGTCCTCCTGATGTCATTGAACTCAAAACTCACATCAGCCTTAGCCAGCATAGCCAATGGTCAGGGATGATGGGAGTTGTAGTCTAACAACATCTGGAGGACCATAGGGTTCCCCACCCCAGGAAATAGAAACTGGCCAGCTTCCTTGTGTTTCCTATCAATTAGTGGTGGACAACCTTTGGCCCTCTCTTTTGAGGGACACATTGTGCTCCTTCTGGGGCAGTTCGTTCCCCATCCTGCACTTAGCTCTCACTCAGGGCTCCTAGAAGCTGTCAGCATGTGACAACAGCCACATCCTGGGAACAGCTTTGGTTGGCTGACTAAACTAGGTGAGGGTAGCCAATAAGTCTCAAACCCTCAGTGAGTTAGGGACTTCCCTTGTATGTGACGACAGGCTCTGGCGGATTGAGTGGATGAGAACAATACTGGGTCTAACAGTTAAGAAGGCGGTTTCAGCACATGGTACCTCGGGTTAAGAACTTAATTCATTCTGGAGGTCCGCTCTTAACCTGAAACTGTTCTTAACCTGAGGTACCACTTTAGCAAATGGGGCCTCCCGCTCCCGTTTTTTCCATCCTGAAGCAAAGTTCTTAACCCGAGGTACTATTTCTGGGTTAGCAGAGTCTGTAACTTGAAACGTCTGTAACCTGAAGCATCTGTAACCCGAGGCACCACTGCATAGGGAAGTGAGGGGCAGATGGGGCTCGTCAGCCTGGGAAGGTAGCCCATCTAGAAATGGAAAACACTGATCCTAAACCTCCACTGCTTGCAAGACATCTTTGGGAGAAGAAAAGTCTAAGGAGTAAACTTTACACAAATTTGGAGTGGAGTCCCTAAGATAGCTGGATGGTGCCTTGAACACCTCCTTCCAGCAACTCCTGCAACTAAGCAGGTGCCCAATGTATGGCTCTGCTGTCCTTTGGAACACATCAGCGAGGCCGAGAGCGGGGACATTGTCTGGGCAGCCCAGGACCTCCATACACGCTGCATGGGCTTGTGCCCTGGGGAGGTCACTTCAGTGCTGATAATGCAGCCATGCTTGCTGGAGCTGAAGGGAGTTGTAGCTCAGCAACATCTGGAGGGGCAAAGGTTCCCTGCACTGGCTATAAATAGATAAGCAAGGCTTTAACACTTGTTTTTAGAGTGAATGGGAAGTTTTCACTCGTAATAATAGTGCTTAACATTGCTTTAAAGTACTCAGAACCACTTTACCTGCCTTGGCAGTCAGTAGCTCTGCCACCCACATTACAGATGAGGAGAGGGAGGGAAGGAGGCTAAGGAGGCAGCCAAAGGCTGATAAGTGAGTTCATATCAGATGCAATATTTATACCAGGGACTTAAATCACTTGCAATCCAGTCACTTACAGTGGGAAATGTTAACTAGCAGCCACTGGAGAGTTCTTCCTGTGTCATAGTGCTGCCAGCCGCCCGCATATTAAAATCCTGTTCCTATTCAACCTAAGATGCACAGTTGGGAGAATAATATATGTGTGGCAGTAAACCACCCATTGAAACCATGTGTCGTTTGGCTTTGGGCTAGGGGCTGATGGTTGTGCTGGTTAGCTCTGTTGATAGGGCTTGGCGTAAATGTTGACTTCTGGCAGTGACTAGAAGCCCAGGATAATGTATGGGGTGTGGGTGACTTGGAGATTCCCTTCTTGCAAAGGCTTTTGATTTTTGTTAGTTGGGTTTAGTCGTGCATGTTTGTCTATGGGACCACACTGTATAGGCAGGTTTGAGTTTCACACTGCAATCTTCGTCTACTTTTGCGCCCAGGTAAGTGTTATTAGGATTAAAGCCTGCGATGCCAGGTCGAGATCGCCTTACATATCCAGGCTTTTAACACACCTATTACCTCTTTGGAGGTGTTCATTACTTTTTGGTTCCAATGTTTGCACTGCTGCTGTTTTTATGAAAGACTGTTGTTAGCAGTTGAATTGCTTTTTATTGTTTTGTTTTTAGTTTTATTGTCTGAAGACTTTAGATGGGGTGGCATAGTATAACATATTCTAAATGAATAAATATTCCTTCATTCCAGACTCTGGGATGAAATGGAGAGGCAATTGCTTCCAGGTTCTGCTTGTGAGCAGCTAAGAACTTCTGGCTGACTACAGCTGGAAACAAGATTCCAGACTAGGTAGACAGATTCGGGAAAGCATTTAGTTTGGGAGTTTTGTGCTACGGTGGCCAAGCGATTAGAATCTTGTCTGCATGAAAGCATAAAGAGTAAATTTTTCTCACTTTTTTTCTGTAACTTTCAGGTCATATATTGCTCTTTCGGTGGCACGTCCAAAGGACTACATTTCAACAATCTGATAGTAGGCTTAGTCCTGCTAACGAGGGGCAGAGATGAAGAGAAAGCAAAATGTAAGTAGTGGCACTGTCTGGTTTTTTTTGGGGGGGTTCACTGTGCACTTGAGCTACTTGCAAGAAAGGCAGGATATAAACCTAATATTTGGGGTGGGGGTGTGAATCAGACACCTTCCCTCACAATCTATAACCTTGGACATACAGTGGAACCTCGACTTACACCCGCCCTTTCTCACGGACATTCCAAGTTGTGACCGTGGCAAACCCAGAAGTAAACACCAGGTTTGCCGCAATTTGTGCATGCGCGGAAGCGGCTTCTGCCATTTGCGTGTGCGCGCAAGCGGCTGCTGCCGACTGTGCATGCGCAGAAGTGCTCTGCCGCCGAATGCGCACGTGCACAACTGCGCCTCTACTAGCGTCCAGTTTCGCCCAGCAGATGGGCCTCCGGAATGGATTATGATCATAAGTAGAGGTTCCACTGTATCAGGTTGCATTTCCCTCCATTCACTTTAAATGGGAATCTAATGTTTAGTCAGGATGGTTAGGCCATTAGAGTGAGGTGGAGGCATTCTATGAAAGAAACCTGAGACTTTCCACTTAGCATCTCCTACCCTCTGCAGAAGAATCAAAATATTTCAGTTGGAATATTATATTTGCATTCAGCTTAAATGGTGTGTGTGTGTGTGTGTGTGTGTGTGTGTAGAGGTATAAAACCTTTAGTATAAAAAATACAAAGGTAAGTAACAGTAACAAATTAAAATATTAGAATCATTATAGGCTCCAGATACTGTTCCTGTAGATGTAATTTCATGTTTTGTATATAAATATTATCAGCTCCAATTTAAACTGGCATCCTTGTTGATCCCAATAACATAACTGATTAGCAAAGCCCTTTTTATGAGTGTAGAAAAGTAAAAAATCAGCCCTGTTCAGAAAGCTGTGCAAGTTAATTGGCATTGCCAGCTCTGTTGCACCGGTGTGACTTGAATGTTTAATTATTCTGTTGTTGGTTTTTTGCTTAGACATTTTCAGCCTGTTTTCAAATGAATCCGGGAGCTATGTCGTCCGTGAAGAGATGGAAAGGATGCTTCATGTGGTCGATGGGAAAGTCCCGGAAAGCCTCAAGAAATGCTTCTCGGAGGTATTTCCTGCAGTTCCTTATCTCCTTTTACCGGATAACCTGAGGATGAGGGTGAAAGTGTGGAGCCCTGACCTCCTGTCGGAAGTAGCTTGCAGTGATTTACAGAATCAGGATCAGGTCTACTGACCAGATCCAGTTCCACACCCTTGTAGTAGGAGATTGCAGACTTGATAGGATTAGTCTCTGCAAGGTGCTATGCAGGTGTCAGGTTGCACCTGAGATTGCTGAAATGAATAAGCTAGCCCTGGCTATTGCAGAGAGGCAGTCATGCGTCTGGTTCTTCAAGCCAGCCATCTCTTTCCTGGCTGGAGGGGTTCTGGGAGTTGTAGTTCAAACCATCTGCAGGGCACCAGGTTGCTGCTTTAAACCCAAGGGTGGGGAAATTGTGGCCTTCAAGGTGTCGCTGGACAACAGCCCCCATCACCCCGGATCACTGGCCATGCTAGCTGGGGCTGATGGGAGTTGGAGTCCAACGTCATCCAGAGTGTCAACAGTTCCCCATTCCTGCTTTCAAGCATTGCCTTTTCTCCTGCTTCAGTGACCTCATAAACTGTGTCATTCCATATCAAGTGATCCAACCTTTTTATCTCACGTCATCCAATTTTCTTAATATTTTGTACACTTGTTGAATGATCAAAACTAAGTTTAAATCTAAAATATTATTTTTTTTATCTCATCCCGTTTGTGAGTTATGAGGGTTTGAAATTTACAATTTTGGCCTTGCTGGACTACACAAAAACCTTAACAGCTCAGCCCAGAAGTTAGATACTTCAAAACTAACAACAACACCAATCTCTTCAGAACTTCACTGGCTTTAATATGACATGTCACATGATGGACTTACTTTAAATTTTAAATTTAAATTACAAAAATTTTAACTGATTAAAAATAATAATATGATTTTAAAATTCCAAAAAATGTATTGATTATTAAACATTTCTAAGCGCTACCTGCAAAATTTCATCTTGGGATCTCAGTGGGTTGTGTGTTTTTTTGTACATACATGTCTGCCTTATTGGGTTCTATTTAGGATAAATGAGGGGGATTGGGGACTTCTCACAACTCTCAGGAGCCTTAACAAATGCAGGGTGTGAATGTGGCCAAGGCTGGGTCTTCTGCACTGTATCATTTGTATCCCACCTCCCAAAGTCCCATCTCTTGTTCTCTTTCTCTTAAAATGTGGAAAGCGCCCATCATCCTTGGAGGGGGAGAGATCCACCCCTCCCCAAACTCCTAGTCTTCCTTGATAGGAGTGAAGGACTCAGAAGCACCTCTCCAAAACAGCATTAAAAAACCCCAACCCCTTTCCAGTGTTGTCTTTCACACTTCTGATGCCTGTCCTCAGGCATAAGGGCTACAGCTCATTAAAATTCTTTCCACTAGAAGCAGTAGGAGAGAGTCTGCTGCAAGCGTTTGTGTAAATGAGATTGAGAATGTCATATACCTGCCCGTTGTGTCCTGGGTAGCATAAATCTAATCAGATGCCTCGTTTCAAAGTTGATCAGCGGTGCTTTCCCTTGGAAAGCAAAACAACAGACTGATAAGCTGTTGGGAGATGCTTTTTGAGGAGCATTTAATGCCACCCTGCTGGCTGGGTAGGGTTGGATTTATTTATTTTTGTATCCTTGTTTGCCTTAGCCACTGAAATGAGCAGGCATTTGGAGAGGAACGCTTACACTTACAGCTCAACGTATTGCAGATGGCAGACTAACACAACTGCTCCATTCAAGCTGTGATTGTCATTTGTGCATTGATTCCCCTGGACGCCAAGGGGCAGCATGAAAAGACCGTTTCCCACTCCATTCAATGGAAATCTCATACAGTCATACTTTAGTTTTTGAACAGCTTAGTTCTCGAATGTTTTGACTCCCGAACGCCACAAACCTGGAAGTGACTGTTTCAGTTTGCGAACTATTTTTGGAAGCCGAACGTCTGACGGGGCTTCCGATTGGAAGCTCCTGCAGCCAATCGGAAGCCGTGGATTCTGTTCGACTCCCAAGGTACGACCATACAACACTTTGCCTGAGTTCTGAGTCTTCACAAAGAATTGCTCTTCAGACCCTATCATGTGTTAAGATAAGCAGAGGGTCCACCTTTGGCAGTTCCACCACCCTTGGAAGTTTGGGTGGTGGTGCCCTTGTGGGGGGCATCCTCTGTAGCAGTCGCTAGGTTGTAGAATTCCCTCCCCACAGAGGTGTGTCTGGCACCTTCATTATATAGTTTCCCTCCTATACTGAAGGCGCACCTCTTTACCATGTCCCCTGACACCCAAGACATGCATTTTCAGGACCCACCCTTGTCTTGTGATTCTAATTTGTTTTAAGCTATTTTAGTATTGAATTTTAAATTGTTGTAACCCACCCTGGGACCTTATGGAAAAGGGCAGGAAAGAAATCAAATCAAATAAATAACAATAATCGTTTTCAAGCATGACTTTGTAACCTTGAGAGCTAGATACTCTGACAGTACTATGGCTACTAAGAATAACAAAGCTGAGAATCTCACTCTGCACCCGATACCCCTGTTCTGCGCATTCCCCAGGTCTTCCGCCAGCCATGTTGATGAAGCTAGAAAAAAGCCAGTTGTCTTTTGCATCAGCCTTTCCTCTTGCAAAGGGCTGGCAGGAGTTCACCACATAACGCATAGGCAAGGCAGATTAATTTCTGACAAAGCAAAAATGGGAATATTTGAACTTCAGCTCTGCTGAGAGGTTAACTGTTCAGCAAAGAAATATCTTTGAAAATAGTACTGTTAAGCAAGTCAATAAAGGGTAATGTCCAAGCTCCATTAATTCAAAGTTCAGGCAGAGAGCACTTATTTACCAAAGGTTTGGTGTGCATGGCTGGTAGGTTTGCAAGCCCATCAAGAGTTCACAAGCTACTCAATTCATGCAGGCAGGTTTCTGATAACAAATGGCAAACTCTTAAGCAAGCCTGTGAAGCTTGGGGTCCACTCCCTAGCTTGGGATTCAGCAGCTAGCTTTCATGTTTGTTTGTTTGTTTGTTTGTTTGTTTGTTTGTTTGTGTGGTGGAAATAATTGGAAATAATTATAAAATAAATTATAATTATAATAATTATAAAAACTCTAGGAAGCTACCTTATACTGAGTCAGACCATGGGCCTAGCTAGCTCAGTATTGTCAGCTCTGGCCTAGAAGCAGGTCTCCTGGGGGACATTCCCAGTCCTACTTGGAGAAGCCGGGGATTGAACCTGAAACCTTCTGCATGTGAAGCAGATGCTCTACCATTGAGCTAATGTGCCATAGGTGGCTTCGGTGCCCTGGCTTCTCCCCAGTGTTTTCCTTCCATTGATCTTTGGCAGCCTTGCACAGTTCCCCACCTAGTGGGCAGGTTTATCAATACTCCAGTCCCCAACAGGTCAGTCTTAGCCGTCTAGGTCAGGGGTCGGCAACCTGTGGCCCATGGGCCACAAGCAGCCCACGGGGGTCGTTTAAATGGCCCATGAGCCTCCCCCACACTGAGCTGCCCACTCGGCGAGTCCCTGCGCGCTGCGCTAAACTGGTGCTGTGCAGAGCGGGGACTCACGTCCGCGGCACCAGAAATCACACCTGCACATGTGCAGATGTGATCCAGCCCCCAGAGCGATCTCCGTGGCCCAGGTGAGGTAAACCTTGCCGACCCCTGGTCTAGGTCATTATGCTGAAAGCAGTGTGAGCTGGCACACAGTAGATGAGGTGGCTGCTGGCTGGGTTGCATGGTAGCAGCCCAGAGAATGAGCCCTGTACCTTTTAAATTCAGGTGTGGCTCTTTCTTCCTTTTGTTTTGTGGATAGTGAGCAGACTTTGTTGGAATTGCAGAGGAGTGGAGGATATACAGGAGACTTCTCATCTCCTGTGCTTGATGTGTTTAAAAGTAAATTCTCATTCTGTGGGTTAGAGCCCTGCTGGCCCTGCTTTGCAGAGGAAGGAGCAAACTCCAGAAAGTCCAAGTGTGACCAAGCCAAAGCCTGCAGGGGAAAGTTACCACCCATCCTGGGTAGAAACCCATCAAATGAGTCCAGTCCAAGAAGAATTCTGTTAGTATACAAGGCCATGCTGTCCAAAATAGCACCCTTTGGCCTGATCCAGCAAACTCCTCTTACGTGGTGGTATTAATATTATTAATTGTATTCACCACTTTTTCGCAAAGTGACTTAGGACTACAGAAGCAAACATTTAGAAACAAGTTTCAAAAACGATTTTTTAAAAAAAATCTAAAACAGTCACTCCTAAAATGTATAAAGGACTGGATCCAACTCAGTCCCCACCTCACTACAAAAGATGAGCAAAAGATGAGACTGTAAACACACTTCACCCTCCAAATTAGTTTACAGTTGCCTGCAAAAATAAGAATGGGAATCCAGCTTTTGTATAGCAAACATGTTAACGCCCTACCTGTAATCAGTTGCTGACCACCAGATCTTGCCTGTGCCTGCCAGTCTTCCCCTCCGTGCCAGATCTCAACTGTGCTATGGGCAAACAGTGCAACTTTGCGTAATTCTCACTGCCTGATTAAATGTAGAGGAATTTGGGTTGCTTCAGTACAGAATCGGTAGCAGCCCCTGTTCAATGAAATGGAGGCTCAGCGTTTTGGCTCAGTTCAGCTTCTGTGAAGATTGTGCACAAGGCAAAGGGGTCTCTCTTAAAATACGCAGACTTGTCTTCTGTCCTACAGCAATGTCCTCTGTGAATCTTCCTTTTGAAATGAAAATAGACAGCAGTAACCTTCTTTGCTGGATTTTGGTAGCCTGTTAATCTCAGGAGGACATGCAACCTGCCACACACTGGAGGGCTTCAACATTTTATTGCTCCTGCAGTTGGGGTTTGTTTCTTCAAATGGGAACAGACATGGTTGCATCTTCAAGGCTGCTTGAGGGGGTGTGATTATTATTTCCTGCAAAAAAAGAGGTTTGTTTCTCTTTGCAGCCCAGCCCAGAGCCACCTATGGCAAACATTTGTATTTTTCCTCCTTTTCTTAAATGATGTCATGTGTGATGGCAGATTTTTTTTAAAAAAAATCTTTAAAAATATTTTTTTTGGCATCATGTGGTTGAGCAAGTGTGAGGGGCTGTTTGTTCGCTCCTTTCTCCCAGCTAGGCTGAGAATTCTCCTTGGAGTTACATGGGAAGTGGTCCATTCCATGCTGATTAGTAGATGGTGATACATGGAAAGAAAAGGGTGAGACAAAGATACGTGCGTTCAGATGACTATGGTCCAGCGCAGCCTGATTTGATGAAGTCCTCTCTGCTCTAGCAGGGAGGAGGTGATGAACAGTCAAAATCACCTTTCTTTTTCTCCTGTGCAGTATGTGCTTCATCTGATGTGCAGGAATGTGGGTGGCCACACTTATTTGTCCACGCTTGCTGTGGCATGTGGCCTCTGGAGGGTTAGCTAGGAGGTAATGGCAAAAAAAGGCTAGCTACCTTGTTGTAAGAACTGTAGCCAGGAAATGTATATAAAACATTTTGGGTCCTTGGAGGCCCTCCCCAGTGGTTAGGACTGCATCCTACATGTGGCTGATGGGGCCAGGCAGTGGTTCGCTCTAGGCCTGGAGTTGGCCTGGTGTTTTGGGGTGCTGGAACTGGGAACCTGACTGCCAGGCAAGGGCAAAAGGCTTGGCATTGGGTATTGATACCAAGCCTGTCCAATCCAGAGGCTTCATACTACTTGCCAATTGCAGAGCTAAGTTCTTGCACATAGCTGTTCCCTTCTGTTCCTGAAGAGGGCTGTCACGTTTTAGTACACCCACTTCACACACAATAACTAACCAGGCTTGGGCCACTGAGATGCTCTGATAATGGTGACTTGGAAACCAACCCCCCCCCCCCGTATGCTTAACGCTTGTACCAGGCTGAAATTTCCCTTCTGGGGAAGTGACAGGTGGTTTCTGAAATCAGGGGTGTCAAGGTCCGGCTTTTGCAAAGACCAGTAAAGGGACCATCTAGTACCCCAGGCAGAGCTATCATTTACTCTCAACAAGGACTATTCAATAAGATCAGATGCTGCCTAAGAGAATCCTCAATTTGCATGCATTGCCTCTTTCAGGTTAGGGGCTCCCAGTGTGGGACACTCCCCCCCCCAAAGCAACATAAAACCTGCTTGCTGAACCTCTTTTTTTTAAGATTGGCCGTGAAAAGATTCCCTGCCATTCCATTAAGTTGGGAGGATAACTTATTGAGATCCGTCCAACATCTGTGAAATGAAATATTTCCTCCATCATTATGCATCCCGTCCTCTCCCCCACCCCCGGGGAAAAAAGCATACTTCTTAATAGTAAAATTATTTCTGCAGAAAAGTGCCCGAAAGACTTTGTCATGATAATCACTTTGGAGAGAGCCACGTGTGGGCTATATTGCTTCTTACCAAGCTGTGTGCTACTGATAAGCATGTTTGAGGCAGTATCTGACCTTTTTGTGGCAAAGGGTTAAAACAAAACAAAACGCAGCCCTTCTTAACTGTAATCTCTGATCTTTTTGTTGCTTTGAATGTAGTAGCAGGCCTTGTGTTTGAAAAGCAAGCTACCTGATGTGTTGGAGAAGTAGCTGTGAGGGGTTTTTTGGGTTTTTTTGTTCCTGTTTTTTGAATCAGGCAGTTTGCTGCCACACATGCATTATAATGAACTGGTGGGGAGGGAGGAGAACAGCCGCCAAAGCTGCTCTCTATATTAATGAGAGAGGCCCTAGCGGATTTCTCCCACTCCACACACCAAGCAGAGTGCTTGAGAAAATTATTTTTAATATTATAATACAAGTAGCTGAAGGGCCTGGTAGTTAGTATAGCGGGTTTGTTGCCTTTCATTTCCCTCACATCATCTTCCTCGTCTTCTGGCTTGCAGTTGCCTCCTTAACACCTCTCTAGTTGCCATTGGCTTAGCTGCTCTGATGTCATGGGCGTTGGGGCAGCCTGTGGGACTAGGTAGCTGAGAGTGGGGAAAACTGAAAATGCTAAGATCTGAATCCTTGGGCCATTTGGTAAATTTAACCCCTCTTTGTTTATAACAGGATTTGGTGGGCTTTTGAATGGCATCCATTCAATGCAGATTGGTTGTGATATTTTGGTACCTTTGGTGCCTTTTACCAAAGAAGAATAGGCGTTTGCTGCTTGTGTGTGTGATTCTGTGTTTGCAGCTGTCTGCTACTAAATTATTTTGAGAGAAGGAAATTACCTGGTTCTTACACCACTTTAAACCATAGCTGAAATAAACTACGGTTTAAAGGTGAACATCCAGTGTGCTAGTGCATGTTGTGGAAATTGTTTTGCTCCTCCCTTGCTGCTGCTGCGCTGCCAGGAAGTAAGCTAAGGGCCAGCTTAACATTTTTTTTGGAATTTGGGCTCATGGTTCAGTAGGCAACTGTTCTGGTGTCCTGGTTCAGATTGGGGGTACAGTCAGGATTGGGACTCCACATCCGTTTTTTCTTTAAAAGTGGCCAATTCTAAGCACTTTGTTAAAAGTGTGAACATAACATGTAGTTTGACCCTAAGTAGACAACCACCTGACTTTCCCAGCAACTCACTTCCCGTGTGTCACACTCTTGAGTGTGCAGGTGCCTTCACCTAACTTATATCTCAGTTCTCACTACAACAGCCCTGCAAGGTAGGTTGCGGCTGAGAAAGAGTTGCTTATGGCCATCTGTTGGGTCTGAACTAAGGACTTCTTTCCCTGTAGGCTGTACTACAGTGTACCAACAGCAGCAAACAACTGAGTTCATTAGCAAATACAAACTGCTTTGCTTAACTCATCCTCCTCACCTCTGCTTTTTTATTTTTTACAGGGTGAAAAGGTAAACTTTGAGAAATTCAAAACCTGGCTGTGGCAAAATAAAGAGGCCTTCACGTTTTCCCGCTGGCTGCTCTCAGGGGGAGTGTATGTCACGCTTACGGATGACAGCGACACCCCGACTTTTTATCAGACCCTTGCTGGAGTCACACACTGTAAGTAACACTTGTTCTCAAGGAATTGCCTTACTTCCTGTTATCTTTTGTAGACTCCGCCCTGATTTTACTGACATTGTGCCTCTGCAGCTTCTCCTTGGGGATTGTTCAAGAAACACATCCTTTTTTCTTGCACATCAGCTTAGTTACTGTGGCAGCCTTCTACAGTTGCCTGGACCAGTTGAGTGGAAACCTGTAGCCTTACAGAGGCTGCTGGACTCCAGCTCCCATCATACTTAGTCATTGGCCATGCTGACTATGGTTGATGGGAGCTATAGTCCAACAACATCTAAAGGGCCACAGGTTCCCCATCATAGGCTTGTTATATTTTGCTAATTCTCAAAATAGTATGTTCAGTTGCGTTGGGGAAATCTATTTCTCAGGCGTCCAGTCAATCCTTGTAGGAAATGGGATCCCAAGCCTACGACCCCTGGTTTGGGTTGATAACTTCTGTGTTGACTTAATGGGATGTCATGTGTTGCCCTGGGATAGGGATGGGGAATTGGCAGCCCTCTGGATATCATTGAGACTCTGGTTCCCATCAGCTGCAGCCAGCATGGCCAGTGGTGATGGGAGTTGTAGTCCAGCAACATCTGGAAGCCCGCAGGTTCCCTACCCCTGTCATATGACATCCAATAATGTAGGAAGAATTGAGGCAGCTTGCTTTCATACTGGCACATATTGTCACCTCATTTATATTATTTATTTAGTTCCTGCCTTTCCACCAAGGAGTTCAAGGAAGTGTACCTGATTCTTCACCCCCTTGGTATTCTCGCAACAACCCTGTGAGGGAGGCAAGAGAGAGAGAGAGCGAGGGAGGGAGAGGGAGTGTAACTGGCTCAGAATCTCCCAGCAAGTTTCATGGCTGAGTGGGTGATTTGAACTTGGGCCTCCCTAGTTCTAGTCTGATGTTCTAACTTCTGCCACACCACATAGGCTCATCATACTGATTGGCAGATGTCTTGGTATTTTGGAAGGGGATATTCCCAGCTTCCCACTGGCTGATTGTTGCCAGTCCAGTGACTGAAGAAGAAAACAATATTTGGAATAGCTGAGCATCTTTATGTTTTTTTCCACTTGCTTCTACACTTCCTCTTAGTATGGTGCTTCATTAAAGAGGAGTCATCATGTGTAGATCTCCCTCCCTCCAGTAGATATGTTCAGCTTGACTCAAAACACCGGGCTTCATAGATCTCCTTCACACAGGGCATATACATTGTTGGCATCTGTCTGTTGAGAGACAATGGAATGTGCCTCTGAGGGTGAAGTCAAACCGCTGCGTTAGCTGCACCAAAGTGACCTTCTCAGGGCGCAAGACGAGGCAGTGTGTATGGAGGTTCTGGGCTTCTCAGACAACAAGACCCCCCTTTTGGCCTTGCTGGTGTGGTTCAAAGGAAGTCAGAGCAAGACATTTGGCACCAGCTTGGCTGCAGGAGTTGCTGGAAAGAGGCGTACAAGGTGCCATCCAAGGCGTCTTAGGGACTCCACTGAGGATTTATGTAGGGTTTACTCCTTAGCCTTTTCTTCTCCTGAAGATACACAGGGCAAGCAAGCAATGCATCATCCTGTGGAGCTTCTTGGTAGATACTAGTAGATACTAAATAAATCCAATTATGATTCTTCTACCCCATCCCTTAATTTTAATACAGTCACTTGAGACTTCCAAGTTTTCTTGTTCACACATGCTGACATTTTTAGCTTCCCAGGCCCACAATTTTGATGCTTAATTGTCTTGTTAGAAGAAGGCAAGAGACTTCCATTTTTATTTTAGAAGGGAACATTGGAAAACTGATTATTTTGGGTTTGCGCTGTTGGAGGCACTTTTGGAGGTAAAAGCCAGGAGCACTTTTATAGCTTTCTGAAATATCTGTATTTGCCGTGGGATTTACAGTCTGTGCTGGCTGTTTCAGCAAGAATTGTAAGTGCTGTGAAACAGAGCGATTTGTTTTGGAATTTATGAGGCCAAGGAAATGAGGAAACAAATAATTCCTAGGTGGCTGGCTCACATTCTTAGGTTCTCATCTTTTCTATGCCCATTTTTTGGGAATTGATCTGTTTTTAATTTAGAATCAGTTTAGTTTTTGCAGTTTGCCGATGTGAGAGATGAGCAAATGAAGGACAGGCTCTCAACCCCTTGAAATAGCTTTTTGACCTCTATATGAGCCTATTCAAGTTTGCATCAAGAATGCCTAAAAGGTTTACTCTCATCTTCAGTACCATTGATTGTGTCTTTCACAGCAGGCTGGCCAACCCCACCTATTGGGGTTATATTTGATGTAATTTCTATTTAGAGTGGACCTGGTGAATTCAGTGGACAGTGGTGCCCCGCAAGACGAATGCCTCGCAAGACGGAAAACCCGCTAGACGAAAGGGTTTTCCGTTTTGGAGGTGCTTCGCAAAACGAATTTCCTATGGGCTTGCTTCGCAAGACGAAAATGTCTTGCGAGTTCCTGCAGGGTTCCCCCCCCTTTTCCCAAGCCGCTAAGCCGCTTATCAGCTGATCCGCTAAGCCGCTTAACAGCTGATCCGCTAAGCCGCTTATCAGCTGATCGCTAAGCCGCTTATCAGCTGATCCGCTAAGCCGCTTATCAGCTGATCCGCTAAGCCGCTTAACAGCTGATCGCTAAGCCACTAAGCCGCTTAACAGCTGATCGCTAAGCCGCTTATCAGCTGATCCGCTAAGCCGCTTAACAGCTGATCGCTAAGCCGCTTAACAGCTGATCCGCTAAGCCGCTTAACAGCTAAGCCGCTAAGCCGCTTATCAGCTGATCCGCTAAGCCGCTTAACAGCTGATACGCTAAGCCACTAATAGCGCTAAGCCGCTAATGGGCTTGCTTTGCAAGACGAAAAAACCGCAAGACGAAGAGACTCGCGGAACGGATTCTTTTCGTCTTGCGAGGCACCACTGTACCCATTAATTTCAGGGGTCTACTCTGAACAAGACTAATGTTGTATACAACTCTGTGCCACCTTTCCACGAGTTTACCAGAATGCCATTCCATCACATTTTTGCATTCATCTGCGAATTTTCTTAAGGATTTTCATGAAAGTTCATATTTAAATGCATATTCCCTCAGAATATGCATTTAGGAATATATTTTCGGTTGACGTCTTTCACTGTATTTTGATCTGCGTTTTGAGCTGTACAATGACTTTGATATTGTGTTCTTTAAATTGCTGTTACCTGCCCTGGGACCTTGTGGTGAAAGGTAAGCAAGAAATGGAATGTCTAATAAAGAACATTCTAGGAGTGGCTAACCAGGTTTCAATCGACAGATGACTCTGAGCAGCACTGGTTAGGGCAGATGAAGTCATTATGTATCACAATTCATGAAGATATTCTTCAAGTATCCTTAGTTCATCAACCTTTCATTAGATTACTATCTCATGACAGTACTGAGATGGTATCTCCAGGCAGAACTGGGGAAGGCTCCCACTCTGAAACGCTGGAGAGCTGTTGCCAGTTAGGGTAGCCAATGAAGTGCCCTCCAGCTCTTGTTAGACTACAACTCCCATCATCCCTGACCATTGTCCATGCTGGCTGTGATGGAGATGATCTGAGGACACCAGTTTGACTACCATGCTGGCCAAATCTGGCCAATAGTCTGACAATGATGTGGTTCCAGCTTCATGATATACCTCCTCTGTCGGCAGGGTGCTCAGCTTCTGTGACAATATATCCTGTCGCTCTCTCCAAGTCATTACCTGGGGAACAGAACGGCCCCTGAAAATGCAGAAGTTGACTGCCCTTGGTCTGGTGTCCTTTTTTAAAGCAAAAACTGGGGAAGAGCTAAAAAATGACCCCCAGATATTTATCATGGCCTGTTTTGTGAATGGCATAAGCTGGTTGCTAAGCAACTGCTGCTAGTCCCCCCCCCTCAAAGCTGCTGCGAGAGTTTCTTATCTAAGGTCACGAGGGGCTTAAGGCTGCAAAGAGGAGTGGCGAGGCAGAGTCTCCCCCCATCCTTGCTTTGCTTATCTATTATACCTCCGCTGATTTCCCTTGTGGTTGTGAAGGTCATTAAAAAACGTCACATTACAAGAGGCACAAGGCAAATTGAGCAGTGACAGAAAACCAAAACATGCTGGGATGCCTGGAGATTATAGCGTGGGGGGTATGGACAGAACGTTGGCCCAAAGGCAGTGGATGGCTTGAGTGTTAACATAAAAAGGCTTCTCCTAGAGAGGAGCAGCAGCAGCAGGGCTTGGAGCCAAGCTGGTTGAGCTCTCAGCCTTCCAGTTAGTAGGCACCTGGATGGCAAGAGACAGCATGGATCCTTCTGGACATGGGTCTTTCCTCCCCTACTGCAAGAGGATTGGTTCACAGTGTTTGCTAGGTTGTCTTCTGCCTGGAAGAATAAAAATCTGTAAATTTTGTATAAAATGTGGGTGTATATATACATGAGCACAAGCATCATCACCATTAGGAGAGATATTTTGGTGCCTCTTTAAGATGGTCTCCATGTACCCTGAGCCCTTGCAGATAGTTGCTTCCAGAAATCACTGTAATGGTGAAACATTGTGTGGGTCATTTCTGCGTTATGACTTTCATGGCTGGAGATTCTTATTAAGATTTGATAATTTAATCCGTTTTCTGTATTTGTACACTGACTTGTGATGCCGGGTCAAAGGTGGTGGTATAAGGTGGAAGGTCGTATTTGATGCCAAGTGTGTTGTGGCCAAAAATGCTCCTTGGCAAGTGAGGTTCGCTGTCAGTGCTCATTGGTCTGCACTGTGGCCGGCGTCACATACAACAAGCCCCTGTATGGATCAGCTGCATTGCAGAGATTCTGGGAACTCTATAGCGTAGCCAGTCTCTGCCCAAAGCAGGGCCTCTAGTAAGCATTGGTCAGCTGATTGGCACTTGTAGCAAGACCCACAAAGAAAGGCTTCGTTTGCTCATGTGGTTTGATTTGAAACCTGCAGGTAAAAGAAAACGCGTCACCATGGTGGTATCAGGTGGGAAGCTATACCTACCTGTCAAAATGGGTTAGGGGAGG